CAGGGAAGTTGTGGATGTCCCCTCCCTGGACAGGGACAGGGACAGGGCTTTGAGCAACCTGGTCTGGTGGGAGGTGTCCCTGCCCATGGCAGGGGGGTTGGACCAGACGATCTTTAAGGTCCTTTCCAACTGAAACCATTCTGTGATTCTGTGAAAAATATCATTTAATCAATCCATTATGGAGCACCCTATCCATATGGGAAATGTTTTTGTTGTTTTCAAAACATCACCATGGTAAGAGTCATATTCTTTCAACAAGAGGATTTCTATCACTTTTCAGATTCTCTCATCCGTATGGTTTATCTTTCTGAATCACAAGTGAGTAATTTTTTGCCAGCTTAATGAGTAACATTGTCTTGTCACTGGATCAGATGAGTACACAGCTGAAGAATGAGCTGGATCACCGCAACAAGCCACTAAAATAACACATGCTAAAAAGTTGTTGGGAGAATTTTAAACTGTACATAATTTCATTGATCTGGTTTACAGCACTGCCCTACAGGTATTTGCAATGGCATACCTCTGTGTTACAACAAGCAGCAGGGATGGAAACTTCTTCAACTGGGCTGACAACCAACCAACCCAAACTACTGTGCAAATATCCCATGCCATTATAGCTACTGCTCTGGCTGATTCACACTTCACAACTTTTTCTGAAAGAGTCTTCTCCATTTAATTCTCTTACCTGATAGGTAAATACCCCATGATTAGAAGTGTTAATAAATAAAGTGTTCTCTACATTTCCCACTACTCTTGCGAGGAAAACGACATCAAACGACGTATTCCCTCCTGGAAGAATTTTCTGGAAAAAAATAAAAGCATGCAGGCAGAGGAGTAAGCAAAACTGTTTATTGAATACATTCCACCCTGCATATGAACAACAGTTTTTGTGCTACAGAAAATCTCTGTGTGCTCTTTATGAAAAACTGAAATTAGAAAGTCTACTGCAGATTTGGAAGGAAAAAAAAGGGCAGAAGTTTAAAACAAATAAAAAGTGTAACAAAATAATAAAAATACCAATATTTTACAACTATTATCTAGTGCAGGATCATACTTAATTTTTTATGTTGAATTCTGAACTTAAGGAGTTCAGCTTATCACAGAAATATTTTGGACTGACACCGTTTACTGAATACTGGAAAAATGCAATTACGACAAGACTTCCATAAGTGAGAATGGCTGCTTATAGACAAGATTTCTGAAGTTTTAGAGTTCATATGACCCATGCTAAGCCATAAGCCCTGCAAACAAAACTGAAACTAGAGGACTATTTCTGACAGTCAAGTGGTTAAGAGTTAACCCTGATGACACCAGCTTTTGAGCCTGCAAGTTCCTGTAACATGACTGCAGTAGTTATAAGTGCATTGGAGTGACTGCTTCACACTCACACCACTTCACTGGATTTAAAACTGTCCAAAAAACTATCAGAACAGCTTGTTCCTGTATGTGCTCGAAGGCAACATACACTTAATAGTCACTTCGGCAACAAAGGAGATCTGCTGTTAATCCGTCACAGTACCCACTTCCCATGCTGTCAGAACTCTATGCACTATTTCATTCCTTCTTTCCTAGTAGGGTTTGCGTGCGTTTCTGTGCTCAGTTCAAATTCGCTTGGTAACTGGTACAAGATCAATAACTGCAGTACCTTAACACTTTAAGGTAAGTAATTATTGCAGTAAGTAGCACATTTAAAGAAGGAAGGGAAATCATGCTCCTATTAGGGGTGGGGAGGGGAAAGGAAAAGCTGATTTTAAGAAAGAATAACTTACCCTGTTTTGAAAAAATGATGCATGAAAATGTGATGTTGTAGCAGATATTGATACTAATGTAATTGTTTCTTCTGAGCTAGGGTTATGTAGGTAAACTTTTTCCATTTTTGGCATTCCAACTGGCCTGTCGAAACAGATAAGAGAATATTTTTAAAGTGTGAGAATTCTGAATAATAGAGCATTGGGCTTTGTCCCATTAAACCAGATAGGAACATAATAGTGACGAACACTGACAACAGAACTTTGCATTAAATGTTTTTTCAAGTAACATATGTAAATTCTACCTTGAAGAGTTACTTCCTTAACAACTTTTCCATTATTTTATTGATTAGTTTTCCTGAAGGCTGAGTCATTCTCTAAAATGACATCTATCCAAAATTAAACTCTATTTTTCAGGTTTTTCCTTCAGAATCAAAGAGTCAAAGTTTTCTATTCCTGTGCTAGAACCTCTAAATAATTATCTTAAGAAAGGCTGCACACAGCAACTTAAAATAAATAGAACACACCCTAGAAAAAAGTCTAAGCACAATTTTTTTCCTGATAGATTGGAAGCAGTCTTACTCAGAACCCAGAATTTTTCTCATAATATATTTTATAATATGCTCTACAGAATTAAGTACACAGACATTTGTAGCAACAACTATTTATTTGTATATTCTATTTGAATTTATACCTTAATGAAAAAATTAAGAAATGCTTAAGATAAGTTCTAGAACTTAGTAAGTCTAAAACACAGAAGTCAAAGCGTTAACCAGCAGTACACTTTTTCAGCAACAGGACACGCTAACAATCTATCCCACGTAAGCTTTAGGCTTCTTCCTTTTTGCTTACAACAGCTGACGTGACAATAAATGCTTCCGTCTCACCAGTTCTTTTTCAGACGTTGCTATCTCTTCAGAATATTTTTCATGCCTTTTAATACACAGGTGTTAAGCACCAGCACTAAAGCACTGGTAAGGCATGTAGATTACAATTTGTTGCAACGTAAATTTTGGAATTCAAAGTAGTTCAGAGTTAACTTTCAGCCTACACATGTTCCATGTCACACTCCTTCCCATGTCACCTGCTCCAAACATTGCAAAGACCGCAAAAGTACTGATAGGAATTACTACCCATAGTACCTGAAGTGATAATGACCAGTTAGAGGCAGTGGTTCTGCCATCCTCAGTTAACTTTAAGAGGCCAAATTAATAAGCACTATTGTAACTGCAAACTTTTTCAACTTGGCAGAGGGATGGGAAGGGTGTGTCTCATGAGATAAAGTAACATAAGTTTGCTGTAAATTAAGGGTTGCATTGAATGGAGCATTTAGTGACAATAATCAAACTATACCACAATTTACAAAGTGACTGCGGTTAACAGACAGAACCTCCCACTTATGAAACATGGGCTAAACAGATGTTAAAGACCATGATATTAATTTAAAGACAATTATTAACCTTCAGTGAAGTGCATCATCACTAACAGTAGAATCTATCTGCACTCTACTACTGTCAATCTCTTTGCTTTGCTTGCTGAGTACCCCTAATTTCAGAAAACGCTTGTTCTCAATCCTTCTTTCATTATCAAAAAATCTCATTTTGACTTCTCTGAGTTAAATAGTAACGAAGATTACAATTTTTCTCCTCATCTTTTCAAACCTGTACAAAACTTAACACCCAGGTTAAGCCATAACATAAAAGAATTCATATCTGTTACCAGTACACATGGGGATATTAGAAAGGGAAATGGTTTATCAGCTGTGATGTTTTGCATTAACTGCTGTAACTGCTACGTTGCTGTTCAATGGACTCAAACAGTAACCCCATCCACCTGTGCTCTGTTTGCTAGTGAAAAGCTTATCAGACCAGAGATATATCTATACTCTGAGAAGGAGAAAGGAAAAACCAAAATAAACCCAACCAAAAAAAAAAAAAAACCCAAACAAATAAACCAAACCCAAACCAAATGAAACAAAACCCACCCACAAAAGCACAACTGAGAAAAGCGTCTGCTGATACGGTGTTTCCCAACATCCTCCAAATTCTGAACATGCTGCTTCAAACACTCCTTCACTGCCATCAGTGCAGATGGGCTTGAGTATTTTATCTGCTTGGTAACTGTGAATGGCATAAGTAAGCTTTTCTAAGTCAGCAACTTTGCAGTGAATTTGTTGTTTAGAGAAAGTGGGCATGCCTTAAACAAGTACTCTCTGATTCTACCAACACTGAAAAAACCCAAACCAAAACAAAACAAAGAGATAAAATAGTCCCTCTCTTCCAACACTGTCTGTTTCCTAGTTCTCACTGCAATTCCTCACTCTCCTCAGCAGAAGACAGGCTCCCAGCACCTTGTTGCAACTCTTCTGCTTGCCACAGTGCAGTTTCTGGATACTTTTCCTCCCCAGAGCACATTCAGTAGCTCCCCAGGAAGGGGAAGCCATCCTCTTCCTCTATTACAATGCACTCCAACCAGTCTTCATAAGAGAGGGTTAAGAGCTGAAGACAAGAATCAAGCAGAACAGTTCCTACCAACCACAACAGCAGGAAGCGAGAAAAGATGAGGTAGATTTTAAGCACTGTACTACATGTGAGCAAATGACACGACTAGCATGTCACCTGTGGTCTCCACAGAGAACCAGTTGCGTACTGAGAACTTAAGAGTTGACTTAAGTGACACTTCTTGTGATGCATAATGTTTGAAACATCACAAAGCCAAGAAAACTCTGTTGAAAGAACTGGTAATACTGAAGTGCCAGCCTGTTCCTGTCAGAAAGGTAGTTTGGAAGTAAAACTCATTATACCAGGAAATGTTTCAAATACTAACGAATCTTTTAAGGCCTTCACGCTTGTCCAGTTCTGAAAAGAGGGGGAATATAAAACAGTATATTTGAGAGACTAAAGCCTATGAACACGACTATTAGGGAAGAAGCCATGACAGACATCACAGTTCACTAACTTCAGATTCCAGACTAAACCACCATTGTATAATTGTAGGTGATAAAGGCAGAAGTCACTAAAAAGGAATTCTATTGCTAGGCTTATGTTTTCTTTTATTATTCTGTAGATCATTCTCATTTTGATACAATGTGCCAAGCATTATGTTTTGCTCAGATACAGCTTTCCTTATATTCTTTAAGTTTGACGCTTGCCAAATCTACAGAAATAGGATAAACCTCACTTGTTCTCACTGCCGTCAGACATGGTAAAATCCAGGTGAAGCAGTGTGTACCACACACCTTTAATGAACATATATCTCAAGCAATAATCACATAAGGGATGTTCTCCAGGCTGCGGATTGCCAAATTCTGCAGCAGAATTTCCTGGAGCAGTCACAGCTAGAACTTTTCCTTGCAAGAAGCTGGTACAGACACACACCCATGAACTGTCAAAGCATGTAAGATTTTTCTCCTGATCTTTTGTCCCTGCATAAATAGGTTCACCTACACTGATAAAAAACAGATACCACAACCTAGATGAGAACACAGCAATTAACAAGGGCGAGATGCCTGTTCAAATGGGTAAAGAAGTCTGTGTTCACATTCTTTACTGCTGCAACTCAACTCTTGCCAAAGTCTGAGTTAGCATCTGCAGTGTATTGTAAGCGTATTCCTGCTCCGGGGATCAAGAGGTGGATTTTTTTAACAAAGGAAACCAGCTTCTGCAAAGAGTTGAGGAGATGAGTCCTGGAGTTATTGGCTCAAACTTCACTTGCAAAAATATTTAACTAGTCCTTGTGAAGCAAAAATGTTTTGACAAAATGCTCCTCTTTTAAGAGTAATTACATTTTTTCTTGCTGCATATAGTTTAGACAACTCTGTAAAATGCTCGCTTATGAAAACTGATAAAAATCCATTACTGAAAACCCAGGATATAAATTCAGCAGATACTTCCTCTACCACCTTCTATTCTTTCTAATGAGACTGGAGAGAGAACTGGAGTCAATCAAATGCTTACCACTTAGACTTTGGAATGCTGTGAATTATAGATGAATTGAGTATTCAAGATTCAATGCAGGTAAATTCCTCATGAATTTGAGAGTTTAACAAATATAGGTTTTTCTTTCAGCATTCTTGGCAACTGCTGTAACAATTGTAAGACCACTTGTCTCACAGCATATGGGAAGTTTCACGTGGGTTAAATCAGTATCCTGTGTCAGACAGGAGTGAACAGCAGATGCCTAGAAGGCAAACACATAATAATGTGGAAAGCATGAAGTCAAGGGCCCAGAACACTCTCCCAGCCTCCACATAGGTGCAGCTTGGGAACTTCCTGAACAAATGCAGATGGTTCTCCAGTCAGAAGATCACAGATAGCGAGCTCCAACAAGAAGAGTGTTGGATGTTGACTTGTAAAGTATCCAGCTACTTTTAATGAAGTGAAACAAGTGGGTCTTACAAGGTCTCAGTCTACAGACTGCAGGGAATGCCTTTGGTACCCCATTCTGACGAAAATGCTGGTTCCTTACATGAAGGAAGCCTGCACGATGTACAAGACTAGAGAATTAGTGACTGCAGCATTCTTCCTGTTACACATGAAATTGTATGCATCGCTGGCTGAGCGAAACACAGGCTAGTTGCTTCTTTAACCGAAGTTAGAGTAACTGAAGCACATAAGTTAAAGAATACGAATCCATCTCAATCTCGGAAAAGAAAATGAAAAAAAACCAAACCAGATGGTTTTTGTTTTTGTATATGTACCAGCCTATAGAACAATTGTTTCTGAGCTTCCAGATTTCACTGGCTTTTAACAAATCAAGAAAGTTCTTTTATATTACACTGGACAAAAAGTGCCCATGTAATGTACTAAATGAAGCAAATACCTCATTTTATGTTAGGAATCTTAACTTAGGTCCCATACAACAAATCACACATTTTCCAAACAGTTAGCAAAACTCTATATACAAAACACCAGTAGTAGAGTCTTATCCAATCATGTCACCAACTGTGATTTGAATGAATTTAAGAGTGTAATAAACTACTATTTGGTTTGACAGCATTTTGCAGTCTAGCATGATAGGCAAACAAAATCGGAATAGATCTGGACTAAATGTTAATTTACTGTCAACACTTTCTTACACTTAAAGTCCAAGGGAAATGAAAATTTCCTTTTGCAACATTTTTTTCAAATTCCAAAAATCTCAAACTCTGACAGACTAGAAGTGTATCAAATGTACTGTGTAAACTTTATAGGTACTTAACATAGGTCCTTTCACCATCTGTACTTGTTTAAAATGTAAAAAAACCTAGCGATTTGGAAAACTCTCTAGTTGTTAATATCTTCCACTAGTTACTGTTAAGAGATTAGAGCTCTTGAAGAAAACAGACCAATTTGCTAAACTTCCCATCCTCTTATGTTACTTCAAATAATATACGGGCCCAAGACCTGCAAGAAGGTCTCACATATTTGAACATTACTAAGCAACTGCTTTCAAGGCCAGCTCAAGTTTTCATAGACTATCCTGCCAAATACTAGAGTTTACAAAACTCCCCTAAGGTAACAATTCAAAGGAAATGCAAAGTGAGATTGTTTATCAAGAGAAAACTGAAACAGGGATTTTCAGAATACTGACCTAAGACAGAGAAAACTTAGTCTAGGGAACGCAACCTTGCTCAAATTGACTGAAGCAAGAACCTCCATTCACCACAGAATCATAAAATGATCAAGGGTTAAACTAATATATTTGCTAGAAGTATCCTTTCTTACCTTACCAATAATTTCTATGAAGCAGGGGTTAAGATGTCAACTTAATCTTTAAAATAATTTTCCATTTTAAAATTTTGATGTTAAGCAGTTCTAGCTTATATAGTTTTAGTACCCTAAAATACTCAGTACCCAAGTGCTTTATTACCAAAAGTTACTTCTACCAAAAATTTAATTATGAAGAACTTACAAACTTTACTTTTGATATAGTCAGAGTGGAATTAACATAGATGATGGCAATGTACCAAGATCTTGGCACTGGTGAGGTCGCACCTCAAGTACTGTGTTCAGTTCTGGGCCCCTCACTATAAGAAGGATGTTGAGATTTGGAAACGTGTTCAGAGAAGAGCCACAAGGATGGGGAGGGGTCTGGAGAACAAGCCTTATGAGGAGCGGCTGAGGGAACTGGGGTTGTTTAGCCTGGAGAAGAGAAGGCTGAGGGAAGACCTCATCACCACCTACAACTACCTAAGGGGAGGTTGTAGAGAGGTGGGTGCTGGTCTCTTCTCCCAGGTGATGGAGGATAGAACAAGGGGAAATGGCACCAAGCTGTGCCAAAGGAGGTTCAGGTTAGAGATAAGGAAGAAGTTCTTTACTGAGAGGGTTGTCAGAGGCTGGAACAGGCTGCCCAGGGAGGTGGTGGAGTCACCATCCCTGGATGTATTTAAAGAGCGGGTAGACGAGGTACTTAAGGTTATGGTTTAGGGGGTAGACAGGAGCGGTTGGACATGATGATCTCAGAGGTCTTTTCCAACCGAGCGATTCTGTGATTCTGTGTGTGAAGATCTATGAAGATTCAAGTTCTCCCATAAAGAAGGTGCAAGAATGGAATATAAACTACCCTGCAACAGTATTCTTCAGTCTTCAACCAGATGGGCCACCTGCAAGAGCTCTAATATGAGGACTTGTCTCAAACACAGAAAACCATATAGGTAATGGCTGTACTGCCAAAATAACCAACTCCCAAATTTTATGGTTACTGTTTGCATGTTAGAAAATCTCAATTATTCCATTCCCATTTAACAATGGCGGAGAGTGACAGATTAAAAGATAACAAGGAACAGATGGCAGGTAAGATTAAAGTCAGGAGTCGTGGAGTTGGTTTTGGGTGGAGGCTTTTTGGGTGTTTGTTCTCTTCAAAGCCCTGAATTTCCAATATCCAACACGGTGCAGAATTTGTAAGACTGGTGTTGCTTCAGAAACACAGGAAGGAGGCTTTCATATTAAATAATCAAATGAGTATTCCACTTACTCCAAGCAGTCCCCTGGAGCAGTGACAGGGGAGAACCTGCCTCAGCTCCACCCCATTCCCAGAGGCTTAATGCATACAGAGAACATTTGGGATACCTTCAAGTGAGCTAAAACTTTGCATATCCTAACACACAGCATACATTTCATTTGATAAATGCAAGATTACGTGGACTGTCTTCAAAGTGGTAGAATATGGTATTGTTTATTTTATATTAAAACAGCATTTAAAAAACCCAAATGTTATAAAACAGAAGCATAAAGCCATTGTAATCTCATCTCCAGGTGGAATACAGGAAGTCTGTCTACAGAATCCATTTATCAACTTAATACTGATTTTGATTTTCGGAGATCCCTAGGCAAAATAACTTTTAATAAATATTACTCCTGCTCAAGTTGGCATGTTTCTGAAACATCTGATTAAACCAAAATGCTTTTAGCAGACTAAAAACCATCACAGGAAGAATGGGTTAGCTACAACTGAAATTAAATATTGCAACTTTCTTTAGCCTGGGAATGATGCATGTTGATAGCTCAGCGTAAACATGAACTTTGAACAAGCTTGCTCTACACCAAATGCTACATGCTACCTATTAACAAGACACCATTTAGGTTACAGTAGTTATTCAGAAACTAAATAAGCATTTTATGCCTTTCCTAAAAGTCACTATTAACAAAGAAAGAAAAGCCAGAATTTGAATGTGAAAGTCCTGTCTATTTTAAAAGGCAAAACCACCAAAAGCTTAAATCTGCATTATTTGACTTCCAAGGTGCTTGGCACCTGCACCTTGTTCCCACCATAAGGCTGAGTTACTCAGCATTTCTCAGTTTTATTTAAATGCCTAAGTACAGGACTTTAAACTGAACTTTGGGTTCCACATCCAAACCTTTTCTAGAACTGTTTTTTAACATCTTAACTGAAGTTTTAATAAGTCAGAAGATGATTTCTGCCTGAGATTATGACTTAAACTACAACAGATAAATTAATTATAACACAGTTAGAAAATTAAAAGCAATAAACAGAACACATAATGAATCAAGATTTAACACACAAGTTTCCTATTTTAACTGACAGAAGGCAGCGATCCCCCAGTGCAATGCTGCATTTGCTGTACAGAGGCCTTCCTAGTAAGAGATTTGCACTACTTTAACTTTGTACTAGGATCTACACTGCTTCTTCCTTGCTTTCAGCACTGAAAAGAACAGCTTATGCAAAAAGCCAAAGTATAATGAAGAACAGCTTAAAGTATTTATGATATTTTTCTGAGATCTATTTTAGGGGGGGGGGAATAAAAAGCATCTTTGGGAAATCCACAAAGCAAAGAAGCACATGCAGCTTTCTTCAGATAAGCGTGCAAACTACAGATGACCTTTAAAAGCAAGATATTTCAGAGTACATCAACAAAACACTTTATTCATATTAGAGAAAGGCGTATAAAATACATTTCAAATGTCAAATTCTGTAATTTAAGAAAAATCACTTAAAACCAAATCAGTGAGTTTACAGTAACTCCAAAAAAGAGCTCTAATAAACTGCTCTACAAGTTTGAGTTTGTACTGCACTCACAAGTATAATTTGTTAACTATAACCTAATTTTGTTACAGCAGGGGTGCCACTAGGTATTTTACTATTCAGTTTAGAAGCTCAGTATCCACTTACCTAGGACCAGTTACTGACATTACAAAAAACAAAACCACACAACATCAAAAGCTAGAGATTCTGAAATTTTGAAGGAACAAGGAAGAGAAGCCAGAGTGAATTATGATGTCTTTACTCAGAAGTAAAAGTTACCCTTTTGTTAGAATGAGCACAAGTAGATTCTGCAAAATGAGGCATTTTCATATAGCTCTGCTATTTAGTTGCATGCTTCCGTTTTTTGTATAAAGGTTATTTCTGGAAAACTACTCTGTGTACACACAATATCCAGTTACAGCCTCTCTTCTTTCAGAGAAGCAGCATACACCGTGTCAATACACAAGAGCTTCCTGTGCATCTCTGTAGCCACCACACTGTACAGTGGTCTTTCCTACAGACAAGGGGCACTACATTTTTGTCAATAATCCATGGCTTATCCATAAATAGAGCAGCCTTTCATCCAGCAGCAGTGCTGGCTGAGGATGGGGGAAGCAATACTGAGCTAAGGCACACCCGCGCTGTTTTCCTTCTTTCTTTCAGGTTGAACTGTTAACAAAACGTTTCAAACATCCTCGCTGCAGTTTACATCGTGTCAAAGTACATCGTGTACAGAGGCTGCATCCCCACACACCAACTCCAGAACTGATTTTGACTGTAGCTACCTACACAGAGCAATCAGTTACTGGTAAGATAAGTTAAGATGGCAGTAGTTCTCAGAGGAGCTGATTATAAACATGTACATTGTTCAAACTGTTAAATTTCCACCCTCCTCCCTTTGTTTTATCTTTAGAGAAGCCGCAGATAAATTTGCTGTAAACCATTACATCAGCCACTGAGAATCGAAACAGCAACCAGCTGCAAGGTGGAGCACAGAGATAGGTTCCTGGAGGCTGTGTGTTCTCCTTGAGGCTGCATTTTCACAGCTCTGCGTTACTGTTCTAATAACTGCAGATTCATTGCCAAAGTTTTTTTGCTGCCAAAGCAATCGCAAAATAGACATGCGAGACTAGATGCTCTCTGACACGGGTTACGTACGTACAAGTACCTACACTACCAAAACGACGGCAGCTGATAGGCTGCTACATGATGTTTAAGACTGAGTACACCAGCTTTCTGGACCACATAGGGCAACTACACTTACGGACAATCTATCAATGCAATTTATGTATACAACCTTTTCCATCAATTTTAAAGGCTCTTGAGATTTTTTTTTCCTATTTGTCTAACTAAACAGATCAAAAGACTTTCCAACTTACTGTTCATGGAAATCCAGCATTGGTGGCTCAAACCGGAGAGGTCGGCAATTTCCCCGATACAAGGATACACTGCAAGAAAAATTAAAATGCTGTAAAAGATATTCTTAAATGATACATTTTTGCTCCCTTTCCATCTTAATTTGCCCTCTCTTAGAAAAATGTTCATTAATATTAATAATATAGTAACTAATTCAAAACAAGAAACAGCCTGACAAACTTGTCCAGCCAGAATACTGTAATTTTACCAGCCACATACATGATTATGTGGTGTCTCCAAGAAAGATTATGCAAGAGTACACATCTTGCAAAAGGACATAATGGAAGTGTTAGTTTTCCTCTATATAGTGATGGCTAAACAGTAAACAGTAAGCTAAATAGGCTTATACCATCTTACATAGAGATATCCAAACATCATCTTCAATGCGTAAGTCATTTACATAAACATCAGGAGTATCTCTAGCTACATCTGTACTAAGACACAATCTTGGATCCATTTGATGGTACTGAGGCCACACAAGAGAAACCAGCCCACGCCTATACTGTTAAAAACTCAGTCTCCAGAAGACAGCAGCTCCGCTTTACAGACATTCCTTAGCTTTGCCTATACTAACCTCCTGCTGGGAACCCCTTAGGACAACACTAGCAGATGAAGACTATATCTTAAATTCCACTCAAACAATGCAGCAGTGAAGACCACAAGGTATCTGGAAGCATTACCTACTACTGCTTATTTTACTAGTACAGTTATACAGAGCACAACCAATAACCCATAGCATAAGTTACAAGAAAAAATACAAAACAGCTTCATTAACTGAAGCATTTTCTTATTCATAATGATGTGATTGTGACCCCACTCCATTCCGTAACACTTTATTTTTGGCTGAGTAAAAAACCATATTAATACAATAAAACATAAAACCCGGAGACAATAAATTAAAAGAAACAAACAAGAAAGGCTAAAGAATGGCTCCAGGTCAACGTCTCTGAAATGGGTCAAGACCATTGGCTTTCTTTTTTCTTTAAATACTTTTATGACTAATATTAAAATAGCACTCTTATTTTAGATTCTTGTTTTCTGACTTTCTATCAAACAATTCAAGACACCCAAAGACAGAGCTGCAGCTGTGTCTCCTGGGTAAGCAAAGCTGCTCCACAAACCCAGCCAGGGCAGCAGAACCACACAGGTCTGTCTCAGCAGAGGGAGAAGTCAGGGGATAGAAGATGCTCTCAGACAGGCACATGTTAAAAACAGCTTTATCCACTTAATGAAAGTAAAACATTATTGGAACAAGAGTAGGCACAGTACAGTCAGCTTTTGTGTATACTTACACATGCACCTGTGTGTGCGTGCACATGCATGTGTATACCTCGATGTATATATGGGTCACAGAAGTGAAGGTGTAACACACTAACAGGAAGAATTGCATTCAGATCTACAGAAAACTAAAATTCCTGGTACTATTAAGTGCTGCTGTGACTCATTTCAGTTGTTGAATAAAAGAACGCTTGGGTTTATTTAACCTTCTCAGGCTAAAATCAAACCTTGTGGAACAAGTGCTCAGTAAAATGAAGTTTACAGATACGCTTGACAGAAGAGAATAAAGTTGGAAAATAGTATCAACAATGATATTTTTAAAGGATAAAACAAGTTGATAATAAGTCTTGAAGGTGATCATCTCACTTTTCAAAGTTTATGGCCCAATTTTAACAAACATTTAGAGCACATTAAACTGCAAAGGACAACAAGCACATGTACCTCCATTGTAAACAATGATGTTTTAAATAGTTCTGTCAATTTCAACAACGATTTTTAAAACAGCTCTGTCGATTTCTTCCAAGTTCAAAACTCTGCACTGTAATCCAGCACCTCTTTTTTTATTGGTAATTACTGGTAAAAGGACGTATCAATTCCTTTTATGCAAAAGTTATCAGAAATAATTACAGTATTTACAGAAGTGATAGTGAAGATGTTTATTTCAAATGCATTGAAAATACAGTCAAGAGTAGCTTGACCTACTTGAACAACGAAGACATGCACAATTGTCCACATACATGAAAACTTTAAGCAACATTTTCTCAGACCACATAGCTATATAATCCTGGATAGCCATTTAGATAACACAGAATTTTTAAATAGCTAAGGTTTGGTAAAGGCAGCTACATCATAATTAATGATGAATTATGAACTATTATAATAAAAGTAACAACTGTAAGGAGATTCAAATGGGAACAGGCAATATGGGAATTCCCAAACTTTGTGCACTGAAAGGCCCAACATGAGTCAACTTGCAGCAGACTTCCAAAATTATGATAATGTCTGCTCTGCTGGGCACTTGCTCACTGAAGGCTGGATACACCCATGGGTAGGGCAACTTTAGAGCATAATGATATTTGAGTTAATTACTATTGTATGCATGCAGAGCTAAGGCTCCCAGTCTTATTTCAGAATTTTTCCCTACCCTTCCAAGTTTTCCAACCTTCAAAGTCAAGAAGAACAACATGAAAAGATCCAGATGAATGAGAGAGGACTACTGACATCTGCCAGCAAGCTCCAGCAGACCAAAAATTGGCCAGGAGTCATCTGAAGCTATGAAGTTTCAGGAATGAATAGTTCCTGGCAGTGATTTAATGCAGTCTCAACACTTTTCCCTTCTGCAAGAATTTTGATTTAAAAATAAGACTTAAGAGTGAACCAAGCGCTGTTCCTGACACAATCATTAGCCTCACCGTACCATTCACTCCGTCACCCAAGTGAGAGGGCATTTACCTCAACTACTAAAATAACTATCCTACCGCTACTACCCAGAAGCAATCTACTACCAGATGCAATTCACTGAAGTGCCACTTGACGTCTCAGTAAGGTTAGCCACAGATGCAGGTCAAAATATCACTGCCCGGAAAGACTGTAGATGCTATGGATGTCCATCTGGGCTGACACAATTACACAATTTTCTTCTGCCTAAGGACATTCTGCAGCACCTCTGTAATGTTCTGCTGCTCCTCACAGAGTACTAGGCACTCACAATCTTAATCTGTGCACATCTCTGCATTTGGAGATGAAGAAAAAAAATGCTTGTCAAATATAGTATTTAAAGGTTTCTACAAAACTACGCAGTAACTGTTTCTCTGTATCCTCACTTTACCTTTCTAGCAGTTCTGGGATTTCTGGAGGAGGGCTGTGCTCTGTGGAATTTTATCTGTACCATCTTTAATTGCTACTGTGGAAAATTCAGATCTAAGCATTACTCTACATGTTTTTTTCCCACATTACTTTACAGTTGTTTAAAGGGTTTATTTCCTCTCTTGTGCCATAAATTGTCAAGAAATAAAGACAACAGCATTAAACCATCAAATAGCAAGTGATCTCTTGATTTTATTTAGCAGCACAAAAATCTTAGAAAGTCACTACTTTGTTATTTCTATTATCACAAAATAAAATGAAAGTGTATTAAAAAATAACTACATGAATTTTTAAAATGACAAATAGGCAAATACCTCACAGTGGGTACTTTTTGTGCGAGAACATCCTTGAAAGAGCTATCTCAAAGACAGAATATTTTTGGCTAAAAAAAGTAAGTAACCAATCATATTTCCCTGAGTGCATCCGTGGCTTGTTAATATTTAAAAATAAGGCTGAGCTGCATATATCAAAGTATTTAAATGTTTATAGTTAAAATTATTTTAGAAATACGAGTATTAAACAGCCTCAGTGAGAATGTGAATTCCCACAAAACATTTGTCCACTCAGGTATCTGGTAATAGCCACTGCCATAAGTGCAGATGAACAAAAAGATCAGCAGCAAATATTTCTCATAAACTGCACCCAGCCAGTGGTTGCCTCAGTTATGCCAACATGAACCCTCTATCAGGAAAACATACTTATATTATCAGACGTTAAACTTCAAAGCTAACACTTCCTGGGGGGGTTAGGTGGGGAAAAAGCAGGGAGAAGCCTGAATAGACGCAGTGTAACCTGACCACAGGCAAGAACAAAATGAATTAAATGGCCAGTTCATTTTCCTCCTTCCAATTAGTGTTAACAAGCAGATCAAAGAACTGAAGAAACTCTCTAGATAGGGAAGAGATATCCGCAAGCTGCACCAAGAAGGAGATACTACAAACATTAATAAGAGTGATGAAAGACAAGTCATCTAGAGAATTTAAGCACATGGATCAGAAACAGATTTTTTAGCAACACCATTGAAAAAAAATCACTTTCAAATACTTGAAAGGTAGATCCATGTAAAACCAGTAACAACAGAGAAACAGAAAGACAGCAAATTGGGTATTTACATTGTAGTATGGCATCAAAGAGTTTGTGATGCAAATCTTTATCACATTGTGATTGAACCCCAACTAGGCCATCACTCTTAAGCACAACAGAAAGTTTCTCCTGGCAAACCTGGAGATTTTTCAAATCTGTATACCAGCATTTTATTAGAACACACTCTAGAACACTGACATTTCAAATGCAGAAAGTGATTTTCTTAGAAGATAAATGAAAAGAAAAAAATCCTGGAATCATATCTAATCCATGGCCCCAGTCTCATTCACAAAGAACATCAATTCAGTTGTTTTCTGGGAGACAAAAAAATTGCACATAATCCCTAGGTCCCAATAAAGGCATCTTTTTTTTTTTTGCCATTGAGACTCAATGATTTAAACAAGATACTATTCCATTTAAACAACCTCCATAACGTCTGACTCTATGCAAGACATAAAATACACTAATCACGGTTCTGAGAAGTCCAACTGTCATTCCTAAATTCCTGTTTTCATACCTGCAATCTGGCTGCCATACTGCAGCACATAGCTACAGCTGTTAAAGTTCCTGTCTCCAGCTGCATCCCCTACCATTTTGCAATCCCCTAACAGCTCGTGGAAGAACACAACAAATACCCACGGCATAACAGAGTAAAAAAAAGCCACTGGACCATGAACTGCAACAGCTGAGCCATGGGCTCACATATTCGCCGCCTTGGTCACAGGAGAGAGGATCCTTGGCAGGAAGGACAGGTGAACAACAACTGGGGCATGAGCACCTTCAACCCCTCGTGTTGTTTGGGAGTTATGAATGATCAGAAGTCCAGTTGATTTAATGTTACAAACCATGACAGGGAAGAACACAATGACTACTTAGCTTAAGCAACCTGGCTTACAAAAATAGAAGTTTTTGAATTTAATATTAATTATACTGCTCTGAAACCTATTCTTTTTGATTGCGTTCTTCCAGAAGCATTAGAAATGATCTTCTTTATTTTTCAAAACACAGGAGAAGCTCAATAATGAAATTCAAGAGATTCTTCTACTGCTGTGTACTCCTGTGTACTGCCAAGTCCACTTCAGGGTAATGAGCCCAGGGCTTCCCATAAGCAGTTTTAAGATAGCAAAATGGGGAAAATCCCTAATAAACAAATTAGTTAAAGTGCATACTTTTTCATTTGATCTTCAAAAAACTATATTTTATCTTGACCAGGATGTTATGATTTGTATGATTACAGCAATCAGGAAAATTAAATTCAAGTAACTCCAGATGGGACAACAGGATGAATGGGCAAGGAAGAATCTATTGAAAGTAGCATCAATAAAGTTTTTCTTCAAAAGGACACAAGCAGGTAAACAAAGCCACTCCTTTCTCAATAAACCTTCAGTAAAATGATTAAAATAAAATATGTATGCAATCAGAGTCTCACTTTACCCCATCTTTATTTACACAAATTACTCCGTGTAAATTCATTAGAAAGTGAATTAAAGAATTCTTCCACTTCTTAGACTAAATGTGAAGCGATTTAGTTGTCCAATATTAAAAATCGTTTTACCTCTTAGTTTCAATTTCCTTTGTATGAGACAAATGATTGAAAAATTACCTGATCTGTATTTGATCTTGTTTACAACAAAGCTTTATTATTCTTATGAAAAATACAATAAATCTCGCAATAGGATGGCTGTATTAAACTTCTAGGAAAATCATGCTTACCTTTTCTGTTGATATGAACTGAGGCCTATAGTTGTCTCAGTCTGTAAAAGAAAAAAAAATCATTTTAAGTTTAAGACACTGACAGCATTATACTTCCTGCAGGGGGGAAAAAAACCCCAACTGTAAGACAGTAGTAGATCAGCTCTTGCAAGACAAAAGGAGAAGTTCTGATCTGGAGCAGAAAATGCAGTTTTGCTTTTTCCAATTAATTACTTAAAGAGATTAAGCCTCTACTGAAAGACGCCCTGGACAAGAACTGCAGTCACTTACAGCGGTAGGAACTCCTACAAACTGTAAGACAAGCACCAACTTAACAACTGAAAAATTCAGAGGATGAAAAAAGTTCAGGAAATTAAAACATTGTAGGGAGTAAAAGAAAAACCTAGCAGAGATATCAAGAAACATACGACAAAGAAGAGCATATAAACCAAATAACAATCAAGCAATTATCTCACCGGTGTAATTTAACAAACTAGAAAACAACGAACACTATAATCTCCATGTGATTAGGAAACTTCATCTCCTTCCTGGCTAACGATCTTCCAGCCTCCATTATTCATACCTTTACTACCGCTCTGCTGGACATCACAGTTAATTACCTGAAAACAAGCGGGTTCAGTTGTCTAGGAAATCCCAAGTAGTTTGCCCTTGTCCAAGAAACCAGAACTGGTTTAGAAGGCTGCATAGAGAACATCCTCCTGGTACAGGAAACATTAAAACTTGCCCAACTTTAAAAACTTCTGTCTTCCCATAGGACGTGGGGATCAAATTGAGGGCTTTAGTTCTCTTAAAGTCATTTAATGGCCACGATGAATACTTGTCTTCTGGGAGCAGGAAGAAAGTTTACAGGTCTGATGAAGTCTATGGTTTACCTTGGCTCATCTGACACAATTCACCTCTAGTATGAGGATGTCACTTGTTTGCGAGGGGAATGTGAATTTTTCATATCTCATTTCAGAACTAAAATCAAGTCCCTTGGCTTGGCACTTTACCGATTTTATTTCGGCTATGAATTACACTTTCTTCTTCTTCCTAAGATAAAAGTATTTTTCTTAATTAAAAAACAATCTTTTAAAATTATTTTTTAAAAAAATAT